TCTTCAGGTAAAAGAGAAGGTGATAATGGTGGTGTTTCATCTTCAGTTGGATTTTCATCAGATATATAGTAACAAATGTTGATTTAATAGGATTTTCAGGATTATGTCTATCTTTTACCAATGCAGGAGAATGATCGATGTCAGTAAACAGATTTCGGTTATATGGGTAAATTACCGTTTTGTAAAAGACGGCTTGAATGTTGGGATCGTCTTTGCCGGACACATGTTTCTTTTGAATGTATCTCAACAGCGAACATGCTTGTCCGCCGCTTTCTGTAGTGAATCTCCAACTTTTACCTCACAAGTCAATTTCCCTTTGGAAGTTTTCCTCATCCGAACTTTCGACATCTACAAAAAATAAACATCAATATATTTTCTATTCCTACAAAAAATGTTTCAACCGTCCCCAACTCCAAATACACTTACAAATACACTCCAAATACACTTAATAGTTACGACTGTAATAGTAAGTAAATATAGTTTGAAAAACTATGTCCGCCGCTTTCTGTAGTGAATCTCCAACTTTTACCTCACAAGTCAATTTCCCCTTTGGAAGTTTTCCTCATCCGAACTTTCGACATATACAAAAAATAAACATCAATATATTTTCTATTCCTACAAAAAATGTTTCAACCGTCGCCAACTCCAAATACACTTACAAATACACTCCAAATACACTTAATAGTTACGACTGTAATAGTAAGTAAATATAGTTTGAAAAACTAAAAACCCCGCTTTCGAAGAACATCGAACTGAAAAGTTAAAAATATTTTTTTGAATACGTGTGCGCTTTGTGCCATATTTCTTGTTTATCAAGCGCCCGTCTCTTTTTTCACAATAATACTAGTATTTTTCGTTCGTTATTGTTTTAAGCTTATTTAAATTTTTTTTAAACATTTTTCGATGTTCTTTAAAAGCGTGTTTTTTAGTTTTTTAAACTATATTAATTTCTCATTTTTCAGTTTCGTATTCTATAAAAACCTGTTTTTTATTCTTGTTAAACTATATTTATTTTATCTAAACTTTGGGATCAATCAGCCGTATATTGTTTAGAAAAATGACCATTGATATTTTCCGATTCCGGAGAGAGAGCCTGAAAATCAGCTACCAAGCCCAAGGCAGCAGGCGCGCAAAGTTGGGTTACAAATAAGGCAGCAGGCGCGCGTATTAATAAAAAAATACTTTTTTAAATGAAGAAAAACATGTAAAGTGAGTTCGAATTATATCAAGGAGGTTACGTACAGCGCCATCTGCCCGCGAATAGATCAAGCAATAATGTCGATAATTCTGTGAAATACAGATCCCGAGCTTGAGAGTTACAATAAAACAAACTTTTATATATGTCTCTAGATACCCTGTATGAAGGATTCCTAAGATAAAAACGTTACCTTTTTTATATTCGACTACTCATCTGGGATATGTCAAATTGTATGATGGGAAGTGAGTAATGAATAAATCTCCAGTCAAATTACTTGGTAGTTTTCATTGTTGAGTTTACTAATTCACGTTGATTATTAAACAGAACATTGCCGACGAGGATTTTTCGTTTTCACACAAAATTACTGTTCATTGGGAATTGTGAGTAGTGCAATCAGATTATTGACAATGACGGAAAACATTGTTGGACTTTTTGGATCTCTCAACATTTTTCATCATAAAACTTCAAATTTCTCGGTGTTCAAGGAAAGACTCGAACAGTTTTTTGTGGCTAATAAAATATCGGAGGAATGTCGCAAAAAAGCAATTTTTTTAAATACGCTGTCTGAAGACGCCTATGTGTTGGTTCGTAATTTATGTGTATCAAATTTACCGGACACAAAAACTTACGAGGAACTTATTGAGTTGTTAACAGAGCATTTTTCACCTGTTAAATCATACTTCGCTGAACGGCTGAAATTTTATACGGCCAAACGAAACAAGGAAGAAAGTGTAGCAGAATGGGAAGCAATTGGATATGGTGATGCGCGACATTTTTGTACTTGGAATGAACGGTACAAAAATTATGGATCGTTTATTCGAAGAGGATGCATCTACCACTACAGTGACTTTTAGGAAAATTGTCATACTGGCTTTGGCAAAGGAGTCGGCTTTACAAGAACATCATTTTGAGAATCATCAATGGGGGTGAATATAAAAATAGAACCTGTTAATTTCCATAAGCAACTTCATCATAGGAAGGGACTTTTGGGAAGGCACCAAAACCCTACGGGACCAAGTACTTCAAAACAAGCAGGTACAATGGGGAAGAACCATAATATGGCAAGCCAAAACAGGAACGTTCCTCCCCAAAGTAAGTGTTTCGTTTGTGGCAGAACTAATCATGTGGCTAGAGAATGTGCTTTCAAGAATTTTACATGCCACCGTTGTGGAAAAAAAGGGCACTTAGCGCCTCAATTTAGCAAATTTTCACAGAATTTTATAGTTGAAAATGATGTAGCTGTTGAAGAGTCAAATTCAGATTTTCATTTGGAATCCATTTTTAATGTAAATTGTTTTAATATGATGTGACAAAAGTTTTTTATTCATTTCATTCAAGTGTATCATGTTGCTTAGAGAATGTGAAGTGATGGTTGAACCCAATACCTCTTGCCTATTGCCTAGGGACAAAAGTTGGTTCCGAGCCCTCATTTATTACAGACAGCTTTCCCCCTAGTACATAATGAAAGAGTAACTTACCTCTATGGTTTATACACCACGCTGTATGGTGTGACTGGGCGTCACATCCCATTACGATTTGGAGTTTGTTTCTTTAGCTGTAGTCGATGAGTGGTCTAACAGCTAGAAGAGGTACGGTATCCGAATCTCCCAGAAAGTAGGCGGAGCAGGCGATAATATTCGTCCTACTTTTCCTGCCCAGTAGGGAAATTCAAATGACCACTACGTCTTGTGTGCAGAAGCCAGTAAGCAAAAACTAATTGATACCCTTCCTGATGACCAGACATGCTCTGGGCTTCACCCCAGGGTACTCTATTACCTCACCAGGAATATTGCTCAGTCCGGTTACTCGCCCTGTATTTCCTGTCCATGGTTCCTGAAGGAAAGCAGGGTCGATTAATTCGTCCTTGAAGTTTTCTCCAAGAAAGTATGAAGCGGCCTTGGCGTGTTGTAAAATTGCCTGCAAACACTTATACTTAACGAAGTGTTGCCACAAACTTAGAACTCCTCAACCCTAGGAGAGAGAAGATAGAAGATACTTAAGAACACCTCCCAAGAACGATCTCTTAAGATCGGGGGATGAGTAGGCTCAGATGATGAGGTGCCTTCCTGCCTTCTTCGAGTTACTTGCTGGTTTTTTGGATCCCTTCGACGAGACGATTTTCTTCATCGCTTTCGAAGAGCCAAGTCCAGCCTTTTTTCCTGATTTTCCCGACGAGACGTTAGCCGTCTTTGTATCCTGAAAACCAACTGGTTTCCCAGCCTAGGGATGGATGGGAGCCGCTGGTTTATCCTTACGTTTGGGTGGAGATTTGATTGAATTCCTTTCCATACACGGATACTTACTCGGCCATGCTTTATTTACTCTAACGGGTACATTAATGTGACTCGGTTGAGTAGTTTCCTGCTGGGAGAGTGCCCGGGTTTAAGGGTCTGAAACACATCCTCGCCAGCACGGCCGTGAATCCATCGTCAACAGCAAAGGTCCATGTTTGATCAGGAACTGACTTTTCCTTGTAGAAAATAGTCCACTCCAAGGTTGACAGACCATGGTTCATTTTCCTCAATCTAGTGAGGACCTGGTCGGAGATGGGTCTGTGACTGCCTCCTTCAGGTAGGTAAGCAACACAGATGGGTAGCTTCGGAAGTTGGTCCCCTGTGACGCATTTTAGAGAAGCGGCCTCCCACAGTTGCATGGTATTATCCACACCCGCAAGCCAGTCGGCACTAACCTGATCCTCACAGATTACCTGTAAACTTCCAGGCCGAAAAACGCAGTTTTGGAATTGTACCTGTGGCCCATTATCTGGAATAACCTCTACAGCCGTCAAAATAGCCCCCTGAAAAGATTCCAGCTGATTGGCCGTTAAAGAGGTATTCGGATAATCAAGGTGCATGTTTCCCACCGTGATACCCGTGACAACCTTGCACGTCAGCTACACCTGACGATGCCTCAGATTCAGCCGTGCAGGGCTTTCTCGCCTCTGGTTTTCGTAAATCATCATTTGAGCCCAAATGTTCGCTAAACTGCTCATGAGGGGTTTACTCCTCCACCTGGGACAGATTCTGTGTACGCCGCTCAAGAATTTGGTGCTAGGCGGTTTCATAAGGTGCTTCGCTCTTGAGGAGACAACTCAGTCGTTTCCTGGCTGTACCACCAGAGTTATATGTGAATATTTGTCAGTCTCAATACGAAATCATTTATTTTGTAGCAATGGAGGGATACATTTTTTATTACATCATGTGACTATTTAGTCAAAGTTATCTTGTTGTGTATCATATTGAGGTGAATTCGTGAATGGCTCATTGAATGAGTTCTGGTTCATTAGATCGTACCCACGTTTACTTTAGTAATTCTAGGGTATTGAGATAATTCAAATTTCTGCCTTATCAACTGTCAATGGTAGATTATATGTCAATCATGATTACCACATCCAAGGAAGGCATCAATTCCAGAAATTGCTGAAAAAAAACGAATATTTGTTTCCAGTCCAAGATTTAAACTCACGCCTGGTGAGGCCGTTGCTTCGCGCCGTTTACGACTTGAGCATTAACCCACTCCGCCAATAGACCAATCGAAATTATATAATCCTGGCGATCCTTATCAAGATTCCTGATAAGTTTTCAAAGTTTGAAATAAATCTGTCCGTTTTGAATTAGTCAAATTCGCGTCCAAACAAACATACAAGTGAAGCTAATAAAAACGTGTTAGAGAAGCAACGTAAAACCAAATGAATATCATTTATATTTGGCAAGTTGACTTGGGTGTCACACCAATAGGTGGTTCCACTTATGTTTCGCTTGCGTTTACGTAGCTATTTTTATAAATTCAATTTCTCTGAAAAATGTATCTAAAACTTAGGCTGAGAGAGATGCTTTGCACAGAAGAACAAGGGTACTATTATGAGACTACAGACAAGTCACAAAAAATGGACGAAATGAAAATGAAAGAAATGAAAGAACGTGTTGATTTGCTGAAGCGACAAAGAGAAGAAGAAAGATTGAAAATTGTTCAACAGAAGAGGATAGAGCAATACAGGTAACTTTCTTTAATTATTCCAGCGGACAAATTTCATATTGACATGTTTTAATGAAAACAGAATGTCATATACTTATGGGTACAATCCAAATTGGAAGAGAAATGAATAATTCATGATGAAAGATACTTGAATATGTGCAAATCCTTTCACTGACGTTAGATTTCACAAAATAAATTTTGATATTAGGCGGGAACGTGTGATATTTCATTTTTTTAGATATTTCTTTGTTATCTAAAACAGTACTCCTAATAAGCTCCACTCAATCATTGAGAAACGTTAACATATCAACTTTATGTGGGTTCCATCACATGTTGGTATAGCAGGCAACGGAAAGGCCGACCAGCTGCAAAGGATGCTATTACTAAACCACTCACAGGTATTGAAAAAAGAATAGCCCACCCCGACCTGAAACCGTTTTACAAACAAATACTTACTTGTACGGCAACAGCAATGGATTGACTCCAACTCTAAGTTATCAAACCAATGGTCTTATCCAGGAAATCACTTCCAAAAACTAGAAAATTGCAAGTTATTCTGTCACGTCTTCAACTAGGGCATACTCGCCTTACTCATATGAATACATCCTCAATGGTAATAACCCTCCAACATGTGAAGTTTGTGACTGTGTCATAAGTGTCGAACATATTTTATCTTAGTGCGCATCTTACTACAACGAGAGAGTCGAGTACGACATCCACCCTTCAATTGGAGCAGCGTTGGGACAATATTGTAACTATGAAAAACTAATTGCCTTTTTAAGACGTATAAAGCAGCTGTATATGAAATTTATTGTAAGAAATCAATACTTTTATGAAATTTGAATTGTCGCTAATAACCCTCGAGGTTAATACGACATTGAATAAATGTAATTAAAAAAATAATCTTAATTGTAAAACATAGTGACGCCTCTGCCTATATGAGGCAAATGCGACCCAGTCACGAATGGAACTTATCATGTTTTCAGTTGGTTTTGAAGGAAATGATGAATGTGCATAAACTCAGTTTGAGATTCTTCCAATATGCTATATATAGGGCTATTCAAATTATTTCCTGAACATGGGGATTTCGTGAACGATAAGAGATAGGGTGTGGCAAAGTGGCGTATTTTAGAGACCTATTCAATGATTTAAAAAAATCGAACATAGCTCTTTCGGTTCTGGAGATATACTGTAAAAACCAAAAAATCCCAAATAATTTTTTTGCCTACATCTTTGTAATTTAGAGACCTATTCAATGATGTAAAAAATCGAATGTAGCTCCTTTGGTTCTGGAGATATACAGTAAAAACCAAAAAATCCCAAATTATGTCTTATTCATATTTTTTCCATTGCTCTAAGCTTTTTCTACAATGATCTTCGAATAAGAAAACCTTTTATGATTATCTGAAACATAATTGTAATGAAAATTGCAATAAAGTAATTTACATACAAAAAAAAATTAATGGCGCAGTAAATGATGGAATCGGAGTCCTTCCATTTCGAGACAAATAATGGGCCAATGAGATGGCCTGCAAGATCACCAGATCTTACTATTTTGGACTATTTTCTATGGGGGACATTGGAAAATAGGATTTGCGCTGGCAGAGAGACAGAAAATGTGAAAGACTCGAGGATTTTGAATGATTTCGCAATAATGCAGCAAATACATGTACTAACGGCAATAAATAATATGAAAAACCGAGTTCAAAAATGTTTTGAAATGGAATGGAGTGTATCGTCTATGGGGACCGTGTCTTGGCCTACACTTGCCGATATAAAGGAGATGTCTCCTAGTGACCTGTCCACCTTCCTGAAAAGAACAGGAGGACAACAATGGGTCACATGTGGCCTAAGTGCTGTGAGCCCACACTCACTCTACAGATACAAAGATATAGATCGTCTGAAAGGGCAGGGAAACAAAAGTGAGACAAAAAATACTCCACAAATAATATCAAGATCATTTTTCAGCGTTGTTTTCGAATCATAATTTGTAAGGAAAATTTCATCTGCAAGTAGAAGATACAAAAAGCTTGTAGGAAATCTTTTGAGTCACTTCTTTGATCATGAAGATCTCGTCCTGAAAAACAAACTCGAAATTAGGCCTCTCCGGAGTAAGTCTTGAAGATGTCGTGATTTGTGGTGAGGGTGCAATTCAGCTGACATCGGAGACATCGGAAGAGTTCGTTCGTGAAGCTTGCAAACAATTTGTTACTCATGAAGAATCAAACTAATAACAATTCCCAATCATAGAAAAAAAACATCATCAAGACATTTAAGGAGATAAATCTCTTTATCTGATAACAGACTAAGGCAGTATAGTGGTGATCTTGGACAAATTTGATTACTATGATAAAAATCTGTTTGAAATCTGTTTTTCCGTTAATCAGCTGTCGCTGATAGAATTGATAATTCAATTAAGAACGGTTTTTACCATGAAATGCATAAAATCACTGCCTGATACGATTTCAGAAGTTAAAACTATACTCAAGTAGTATGAAAAAGTGATTACATAATGTTGGGGTGGGAATTTGCAAGTATCGAATCCTACAGTATCAAAATTATACGATCAGCCAGAAATTTATAAGCCAGGCAAATCGGTGCGATCATTTGACTCGGCTGTAGATTTCCCACCGGTAAAGATCGCCAAATTACGGAAAAAAACAAAGATGTAAGGTTGTGGGATGGTAAATTTTCAGTATCTTTTGGAGTATCTTCATTATTGAGAAATGTCTCTATTACGAAAACAATTGAATATCTTTAGGATATTTAATAGGTAAACGAGCTATGTGATGTTCAGTTCAAACAATCTTTTTCAGTTTGCTGTTTCTACAAGCAGCTGGAGGGTACGGCAATAAGAAACCCATTGTCTCTTTTCATGGCTAATCTGAAATGGAAGCAAGACAAGAGTTGAATTACTTTCCACTGCTACCATTACTGAATGTTCTAGTTATAAGAAGCGCCGAAAAAGGTTTGGAATTTAATGTATATGGGAAGAGAATTACCACTTTCAGATATATCCATAACAACTCCCTCAACTGTTCACAACAAAAATGGTGGGACTACATTTTCTTGTCTATAGGCTGAACATGTTGTCTTTAGACAAAGAAGGATATGCTATCAGAAAGAAAAAAAAAATAGAAATCAAGGAAACATATAAAATATCTTACAAACATAGTCAGATCAGGAAACAAAATTTAGAGAGTATCTTTGTTAATACTTGATTTCCGGAGAGAATAAGACTCAAGTTCATAAAACTCGAATAACCAAAAAAATTATACGAATTTTCGAAAATTTGAACATGAAATTGGCTTTAAAAATTGCTCGTACCCTTCAAAAAATGTTGGGTAACCCGAAAGACAGGAGGATTACGACAAAAATTATAAATCAAAAAAGTGGACCGTTATAACACGTTACAAGAAATAAACACAATATAAGTAAAAATGTTTGGAATTTTTTATAATGGAATTAGATATTTAAACAGCGACAAAGGTGCCATTCCAAACAATTACTTTTCAATAACGTCTAGTCAGGCGATTTTGAAACAGCCTAATATCAACAAGGCGTCTGATCCTGATGAAGTGCCCGGCATCGTACTTAAAAAGTGCGCCAATAAACTTGCACCAGTATTTTGCAGACTTTTCAACCTATCTTACAAGGAAGGGTTTTTTCTTATTGTTGGAAGATGCTCGCGTTCAGCCTTTTTCCAAAAAGGGCAAGAAAAGTTCGTTAATTAACTATAGGCCAGTCGCTTTGCTATCAGTGATATAAAAAATTATGGAGAAAGCCGTAAATCACCATATCCTTAAATATTTGAAATGCTTTAACATCTTGAGCGATCATCAATATTGCTATCGGAAACAAAGATCAACAGGCTACCTTTGTTTCTTATGTCACCCATATTTGTAATAACGCAATCGTGAAACATGGAGAGAGTTGTTGCGCTTGATATTTCTAAGGCCTTTGACCGTGTGTGGCATGAGGATTTGCTGGCCAAACTTTCAACATCAGCGCTGTTGTTCCCCCAGGGAGCCATATTGTCTCCAACTCTCTTTATATTGTATATCAAAGACTTATTGGAAAAAACCAAGGATCCAATACATAGCTTTACTGATGACAGCACACTTATCCCGTCATTCCATTTGGATTCTAGGACATCGGGTGCGGAGGCACATCTTCACCGGCAGCAGGAGGTTACAAATCTTGATGAGGATCTAAAGGTGATTTCTAAGCGACTGACACCCATTATTTAAGCTGATGGTTCGTCCAGGTCTATATGGAAGCTCTAACATAGCTGTAACATTTAGTTTCAGTCTTCTGAAAACGATAACAAAACATGCGTCGACTATCACATTAGATAATTTTGTTCTGGTATGTGTTTTCAATAGCAGATTTATCAATCTTGAATCTTGAACCTATCAGATTGTTGAAAACTCATGAGTGCAGAAAAAACGAAACAAAATAATAAAGTTTTTTAGTATGCCGTCAACAAAGTTCCTGATTTGGTCACTATATATAACACTGATCTGAAACATTTCATTGCTGAATGTTTTATTCGTGGAAGAATGTCGAATATGGTTTTTATTCAACAATCAATTCACCAACTAAACTAAAAAAAAATTCAAGGTGGTCAAACTTCAATTACTAAATTCAACCCAAACAAACAGGACAAGCTGAATAAAACCGATTAAAAAGCTCCAAGATATGATGGCATAAAAGCGAAAACACTAAAAATTATTTCAAAGTATATTATTACTTCTCTTCTGGTTTATATAATAAATAAATCTTTCGAACTAGTTCATTTCCCTGATGCTCTCACGCTATCAGTTTTCACTTCAGTACATAAAGGAGAAGATAGATAAAATACTACAGATTACAACAGAACGGTCTCACTTATAAAATTTTTCAGTGAAAAAATAGAAAAAAATCATTAAACATAGACTCAATGAATTTCTAAACAAATACCGCATCCTGTTTGCTTCACGGTTTTCGGGAACATAAGTCTACACAGGACGCAGTTCACTCGCTAACAAATACTGTCTATGAATTTCTGGACCAGGAAGTACCATCCAAAGGAGTGTTTTCAGATTCATCAAAGGCATTCGATACCGTTTACCACGGCATACTTTCGACTACTCTGCATGACATTGGCATCAGGGGTGCAGCCTAGAACTATTCAAACGTTATTTGAGTAATATACACACATCGGAAAAGTCTAGGGATATTTTTTAAAATGGCAATAATTTTTTTTTAGATCGCTTTAGGGAAAAAAAAGTTGACGGGTGATTATTTATTGCCTCTCGACAAAGGTGGACATCTAAGTGGCCTTCTGTTGTGGAGATCTGCTTCATGCAGTCGATTTCTGACAGTATCACGACAAATGGTTACCTGATACGTCTGTTGCAACACGTTAACCAACTCAGGTGCCTCAAAAAAATTCCAAAATCAATTGAAAATATTTCTAACAAAGAAAGAAAAAAAGTACGTAAAATTATATGAGTTGAAAAAAATTGTACTTTCAGTGATTATTTTATATTTAATGTGCTTTATTCAGTTACTCTTTTAATTGTATCAATTTATTGGAGTGTTTTTATTTACACGAAAACTCTGAATTTTAATGTTCATTTTATATCCTAATCCAAGTATTTTGAATCTTTTTTTCAACTTGTCATAATTATTCTTTTCTCCAATTATTCTTTACACACACATAGGGTTTCAAGTTCAGTGAATGTATCAGTTCATCCATCAAAATATAATGTAGGTACCCCACATACTTCACTCCATATTTATGTTTACTGATGAATTATTATCACCAAAAATTATTATCACCATCATTATTGTTATCAAAGTTATTGTACTATTATCCATTCAGATATACAATTTCCATTATTTCTTCTGGAAATTTCATGAAATTAAACTTCAAATATTTGCGGAACATTTCACGTTTAACCCTGAAAAATATTCACAATGATAATATCACACATCATATTTTTGTCCTTCGATGTTCCAATTGTGACGAAAAGATGTTTTACTTTCTAATTCATTATATTCACTTCGAAAACTGACAACTTGATTGATTTTCTGTGAAGAATTGATTTTAATGTAGGCGACCAACTTAACGAGACTCATTACGGATGGTTGCCTTGTAATTCGCTTATTACTTTGACGTCTCTAAAGCATTGATAAACAAATTTATATTTATATGAATATAATATTAATAAGTGTTGTTCTGGTATGAAACCTATGTCATATGAGTAATTTTTTTTAGAGTAAGCCACTGACTATTCATCGTTCCAAATATATTACTGAAATTATGGTTGCATACCTATTCAGGAATACGCGTTTCCGTAATTTCAAAATTACCTATTTGAAAATTTTAGAATAACTCAACTAAAAATTATATTTATCATATTTCTTGTGCAATGCTATGAATGAATATCAGATCCAAGTATCTCAGATTGAAAAAAATTAAAGATTTATTTGAATGTGCTTCATGTTGAGACAGTTTTGGGCGCAACAGGAGTAATTTTTGTCACCATTGGAGAACATTGAGACATGAAGAGGATATTAAAGTATGAGTTTGAATTTTCAGCCTGTTTTTCAACCATATAATTTGCAGTTGAGTCGTCCTGTCAACATTTTCCTTCCTTATTACATTTCCCAATATCGTTTGAACTTTCAGTCAAGTTATTTTTTGGCATCTTTTTTTCTATATCAGATGTGAACACATCGTATAAGTATATCAGAATATATTTGCAAATAGTTAACATTTTTATTATCTTCTCTGGATTCATCTAAAAGAGTAGATATTTATATTCCAAATGCAGCTACCATTCAAAATTTGAATACAACATTAAATATTTTTTTTGCTATTATCTAATCAGTGGGGTTTTCCCGATTCATTATGAAGCCGTAGAAGAACTATAATTCATTAGAATTGTTTTTCTAAATATCGAATTTTCCTTAAGTCAAGATCTCAAAAATCTAGGTCTCCAAGAAAAAGAGAAGATGAAATAAAAATAGGATCTTATTTTCTATGACGTCGTATTTTTCTGGAAGACTTCAATTATTTCACCTCATTTTCTAAAAAGTCGAAGAGTAATAACTCCGAAGGAGTGAAAGACTATAAAGATATTTCATGATGATTTCATCTATTTTACTTTATGTAGGAACTTACCCTTTCACTGCAATTCCAGATAGATAAGTACAATTAAAAAACACATTTTTTCATTACCAGGAAATTAATAGTTTTTGAGGATTTATCAAATAGAGATTCTAGAATACTTGGAAGTAAAACAACTTTTCTTTGAATATTTACTCAAAGCTTCGTCAAGAAAATTAGGTTTGATTTGATCCATTATAAGCTTCATAAAAAGAGTGGTGGAAGTCCATTATTTGTCAAACTGGAGTGCAGTAGATTTGCGAAGTATAAAAACTAAAAGGCTTCAAGCCGCCCATAGTTCAATCACTGAGAAATATGATGTTATAAATTTCTCAGTTTTTCTTTTCACTACCTTAAAAAAATAGTTTTTTCATCATTATGATTAACATGTCATAGTGACCTTTTGTTTCATTGTTAACATGTGACAATTTACTTTTCTTCATAAAATATTTACTTCTCCAGAATTTTCAATAACTAGCTGATGATGAACTTATATAGGAACCAACCTATATAGGTTGGAAATATGTACTGATTGATGGTTATACCAATCTAACATCCGAGGGTGATAATACATTGTGGAGACGACTTTGAGTTTTTATTCTTCGCAAATTCATCGAAAGCATTATATCGATTGATGTGTTTCAATAAATACATAAATGAATAATTTCTAGAGACCGATGTCAAGAACTTCGACCATCACTCATCAAAAAACATCTGATCGAGACCAAAAATTGCCAGCTTCAACAAATTCGAGATAATGAAGCAAGAAGGGAGGCAGAGAGAGAACTGGATAAGATGTGGCATGATTTGTCTTTCAAAGAAATGCAAGCAAAGGTTATAAAAATGTCCTATGCATGATAGATTGATATGCAAGTTTATATGTAAACTTTCGTGTCTAAATTTCTATTTGGAGTTTAATAGAAATATTCATAGAATTAACTAAACCGGTAAACTTCGTACCGCTAAACATGGCGCTCCTTGTGCGATTTCTTTTTCATCTGCAGTGAATTGATTCGCAATCTAGTTGCATTACGGCTTCGTTGTGAAATATTTGATATTTTCGCACGCGGTAACACTGTGATGGATATTGCTGACTTTGCTTCTATTAATTACACAACAATATGTTAAGACCATGCAAAACATTCACTGATAATGGAATCGTAAGTAGAAGTAGCGGTAGTATTTTTATGAACCAACTGATCTATCGAAACATTCACCTCTCTGAACTTTTTTACACAGTAGCATTTGCCAGATGCCTGCTGTAGAACAACTGATACACCATGACGGAACATCGAATTATTTCCGACAGATTGTTTTCCAAGTTTCCCTATGGAGAAAATTCTTGCAGATACTTCTCGTTTGTCCAGCAAAAGACCTCACTGAAATCAATCGAGTGTTCTCCTACACATCTGTTTTGAAGTATTATTCCTCGTTAGTATAGTGCTGCAGTGCTTTCTGATACTTGCTTCACCGTTACGGCGAGCCAGTGTTCGATTAAAAATGTTTTTCATTGTAGAAGTATTAGTTATGTTCCGAAACTGGCTCCCGGTTCCAGACCAGAACCGGTTGGTTCTAAGACAGTGGAGGTACTGACTTTTTTAGGTTATCTGCGGCATATTGTGATCCCAATACTATTGTGGTTTAGGCAGTTCGAAGCTATTTCCGTAAGTTAGAAAAATTGTTTGTATTTTCAACGGTACATCCTTATTTTTGAACTACAGTGTATCAGAAGGGGTGTGACTGGTCGGATTAAAAGTTTATCTACGAGTTCCTAACCTTACCAACACACTTCCTCGCCCCTCGATCTGCCTTATGAAAAAGCCTCCGCAGGCACACGGATGTTAAAGGGCCTCCCCTCAGCTACCGGTGCAGTGGCAAAGCTACGTAGGTTGTAGATGTTTTCGGTCCTGGTGACGCGAATACGTCGAAGGAGGCCTTGGCTAGTGGATTCCAACGGTGCGGCGAGGTGGTGAATTCCTGCATAGTGCTACACTCAAATTTTTTGTCGACAGTAACTTATTTTGTTACTTCCCAGGACTCGTACAGCCTGTCAATCAGTACCAACAGACAAGAATGTACCAGTGATCGCAATTTCACAATAGCTCTTATCCGGCTTAGCTTTTGTCACAAAGTTGTATCCCTGAGTGACAATAATATATCTTCTATAGGAATTTAGGCTTTCACGGCTGACGTCAATGTTTTGGTCGTTTTTCGGGTTTGCCGTGGTCTTCTTTGGTTACAATCTCCAAACGTTTCAGCTGCAACTGCGGCAGTCATCTTCAGTGGTGTAGTTGAAGTACTTTTTTTGACGTATCAACCGTTGATACGTCAAGAAGAGATGTCTAGTAAGAAGTAGAGGAATTCGTTAAACCTCTTCGCTAGTAGTCTTTCCAGTAGTTTACCTAGGCAACTTAGGAGGCTGATGGGTCTGTAGGATTTGAGGTTTGTGTTGTTTCATGTGGTTCAGGAATGGTGTAATGGTGTTTGCTCGTTTCCAGGTAGCAGTTTGAGATATAGCTGAGGTAAGGCAGGATAGTGTTGGGAAGGTTTTCTAGAATTTTACGGCCCAGGAGCGATGTTTTTACCAGAATGAATAGATTCCATTGAGGAGTGGAGCTCTCTCTGAGTAGGCGTTTTGGGTCCAGTGGGATGTGGCTGGGGTGTCTGTTGAGTCTGTAGAGCCAAGTTGGCTCATTTCCTCTTTCCATATTTTTGTGTGTGAATTGGTTTATGAAGAGACATATGCATGCGTTTATTTGTTCACTTCTGTTTTAGTATCAGGTTTCTATTGCGTTATGGAGTAATGTTACCAGGAGAGGTGATTGTGGTGTTTATTCTAGTTTTCTAGTCATTGCAGGCGTAGCTGCATTATCTGCATCGCTAATAAATGATTGTATTTTGTTTATTTGTGAGTAGATTTGTCTTGATTGACATTAGGGTGGGCATATATAAGAGTAGTAGGTTTTGATTCATATGGTTTTGAAAGAAATTTTTGTCGATGAATTTTTCATTTTTAAAAAGATGATTATGAGGTTTTGGGGATACATGGATAATAGGCTCGGCCTTTAAAAAAGGGAGTGGTCCCTAAGTAAATATCGTCAACGACAATATCGACAAGGTTCTCTGAATATAGGATATGATCTATGACCAATGGCTCAGAAAGGTTGGTTTCTGAAACAGGTATTCATACATCAATGGAGTGGGCGCTCTTTGGGATTGAAATTTGGGTATTAAAATTGTATCAGCATTGAAGTCCCCTGAAAGAAAGGCGGCTTTGGGGAGTGTGGAAATGAATTCAACAATTTTTCCAAGAAGGCTCTAGTGTACATGATTGTATAGGGTGAAGGAAGTCATATGGCCAGAATTAGTAGGGATATCGATTGCGAGGGGTTCTGATTCCTGAAGATTTTGAGGCAGGTTGAGGGTTTTGTGGGCAAGGCCATGGCTTTGCCACGAGAGAGAGCATCTGCAGAACAATGGATTGTGTTGTAGCCAGAAATGTAGGGAGGATTCTTGGTTGAGGTGTCAGTTACGCATAGGGTGTGAATCTTGAAGGAGTGAAGCAGGGATTTTGTGTAGAAATGTTTGCGGGAGAGACAAGATTTTGGCGCCTCTGGCGTGGCATAAAAAGTGTCGCTGAACTAGTTAAAAAGAATGCAACCTGACAATTTGTTCTACTAGTTAGAAGATTCTTTTCGCAATTGGGTCTTAGGAAGTTATTCACTGGTCACCATCCCAATGTCACTTCTGATTACTTAGAGAACTAAGACTAGAATGATGAATGCAATGTTAGAGTCAAATTTCTTGGAATTTGATAACAATGTTAAACTGTTTTCTCACAGATCTCACAGAAAAGATTCTTGCATATGCATTTCGTTCGTCCACCAGCAGAACTCCAATGGAACGAATCAAGTGATCACTCAAAGGCCGGTTTCGAAGAGTTACTCAATCTAGAACAGGCAGTAGTGCCTTCTAGTACTTGACTGATTTCATAGACTCCCAACCCAAATTACCAAAACATATATATTGTAAAGAAAGTGTTCCATACACTAAAACCTAAACAGAAATAATATAAATCTAATCACCGTGCCGAAAAAAAAATGGAATTTCAAAACATTGACTTCTCTCAACCTTCCTACACAGATGAAAGCATGCCGAAAAACAACTACTTAGGAAGGTCCTTAGGGAACTAGTACCACTATAGACATTAGATTATATCCTTCAGATATTTGTGCAAGTTCACAACAGTTTTCTCTCTCAATTAAATTTTTTTTTGATACATATGAATCTCTATTTGACACAATCGTCAGATTTATTTGATTACTATCGGATATCAATTAAGATCATATTCCTGTTTCATCTGTTTTATGTTAGCAAGCAAGGTGATATTCCGAAAATCATGAGACATTCCTTCCTGAAGACTATACAAAGTTACCGAAAATGTTGACCTGAATCGTAAAAAAGAGGCTATCAGTGATATCAAAAATCATGAAAAAAGTCGCAAATCACCATATCTTTGAATATTTGAAACATCTTGAGCGATCATCAATATGGCTTTCGGAAACAAAGATCAACAGGCAGGCAACCTTCTGTCGTATGTCACCAATATTTGGAAAAACGCATGTGGCATTAGTGTTTGCTGGCCAAACTTCGATGCTATTGCTTGTCGGATCATTTTTGTGGATGGCTCTCCAGCAAGTGGCCGTCGATGGATATCTCTCAAATACTTTTACCATCAACGCTGGTGTTCCCCATGGATTCCTATTGTCTACAATCCTCTTTTCAGTGTATATCAATGACTTATTGACAAAAAAGGAGAATCCAATATATTGCTTTGCTGACGATAACACACTTGTCTCATCATTCCAGTTGGATTCCAGTACATCGTCTGCGGATGCACATCTTCACCGGTAGCTGGAGGTTGCATATCACCATGAGGATCTTGAAGTGATTTCGAATTGGGGTGAAACTAACCAGGTTCGATGCAATGCCACAAAAACCCAAGCATCGAACAGACATTTCAGATAAGTTTGTTTGGGGTTGACATGGAAACCAATATGTTTTGGTACAATCATGTCGCTGGAATTGCAAAGGTTGCTTCTCAAAATCTTGAAATACTGTTCCGAACCAGAAAACTGTTCACACCTTAACAACTTTTGATGCTTTTTGAAGCTTAGATCAGCCCTTCTTTGGAGTATTGTTCTCATGTATATAGCTCCGCCGCTACGCGGCGGATTCCACCCAAAGAAGAGCCATTCGCCTGATTGGAGACGCGAACATCACTTGCAACCTTAATAGTTTGGAGTTTTGAGGCTCAACTCAGTACACTTCGAAGTTCACTGTTTAAGAACTCTTTCATTTGGAGAATTGCGTTTATGTGGAATAAACTTCTAACGATTAAAATCCAATGTGAATCGCTACTTCCGCACAGGCACCGCTCTGAGAACGCCTTAAGGATTATTCTGTAGTGCTTGTGTTTTGTCCATAAAGAAAAGAAAAATTAGAATATTGTCGAAATAAAAAATATCTTTCAAAATAGTTTCTATATTTTCGAAAAACTTAATTTATATACGCATGGTCCTGTTGCTGGATGAACGAGAAACGTATGTGAGACTTACCTCTGTGAGGTATCTTGCGTAAATGTCTGTCAGATATAATTCAATATCCAGCGTGGTATTAGCCGGGGATATAGTAGTTGTTTTCCAGCAGACATTTACCGGAACCTACGATGTAGGTTAGTTGGGAGAGATAAATATTTCGAGATTTCATTCACCAACAATATGAATACTGTGTATCAGTCCAGCAGTGAGTTATGTGAAATGTTGCTTTCTTATACTAGTACTATGTTGCTTTTCTGCCTGTTAAATTTGTATATTTAAATGAATAATTATTATTCATCAACTCTCAGAATTGAATGTAGTTATTTTGTTCTTGAGTTTCAGTATGATTTGCATATTGATGAATGAAAGCTTCTATTTTAAAATCAATTATAATTTTTAGACGGACCGAGAACAACAAGAAGTGATTGGTCGAAAGCAAAATCAACAAGATCTGCAGAATATTTGGGAAAAACAAATCAGAGGAAAGGAACTGTTGAAAGCAGAAGAAGAAAAAGTAGCTCAAGAAGACAGATTAGAAATGCAAAAGTTACGCGAACAGTTGCGAAGGGAAGAAATAGAGGGTTGGTATACATGTTATTACGATCAACAAGTTGACAGCCGCACCAAAAATACCTCCTCTAGAAATATCTGAACTATTTCATTAACGATTTCATTAAATTGAGAGTTTTTATAATTTCTCTCAGAGAAAACTAATTGAAGCTTCATTCTGCGAAGAGCCTTCCTGTTTGAAGAAACAACATGAATTTTCAGAAAACAAAGAATTTTGTTGATTTCGAGAAAGGTTCAGTTGGGAAACTGATGTTTTAGTATTTCTCAATCATAATCATTCTTGAGTTTGAACATAAGTGGTAAGGTTCGGTTCAAAGTTGGGTTCAACTTTGACTCCAGAAAATTACAGCTCAATGAAACCGAATATTCACATTCTACTATTTTTCCATATTTAAACGGATCTATCTATTACATAGTTTTTTCGAGCTTCTGGAATTGATCTGGAAAAGTACAAAATAGCGAGTATATTCTAGAACCCAGCTGAAAAACTTTCTTCTATAGGTATTTGTAGAATTGTTATTGTTATTTGGAATTCAAATTGGTGACACTGTTCATCCTCCAGCTCCCGGATAGCAACTTTCGGTTCCGTTGTTCCTCTTAAAATACGGGAAGATACTCTCTATGCTCTTTCGACGATTGTTTCACTTATTGAATCGAGTTCAATTTGATAGTCAAAGTCGTCTCTTCTTTATAACTTCATAATCATTTCGAAATGTTTTGCTGAGTAGTGAGGAACAAATGATGCATTACTTGCTTCACTTCTGTTCTATTTTAAATGCAATAGATGGTTGCAAATGTAAAAGGAAATACCAGTAAGTCTCCTTCACGAAGCTGAATTCGGGTTGAACTTCTAACCCTTTATTATTATTTTCTTATCAATCAGTGGGCTATGCTTGAAGACTGGCAGTAAACAAACCTAAAGAAATGAACTTTAAACGTTCAAGCCAGTCTCGAATATACCTTCACAGTAGCTTGAATGGCCTAACGCCTATCAGAAAACAACTACTTCCCTGGCTAATACCACGAAGGGTTGGATTATATCCGACAGGCGTCAGTGCAGGAATCTTCACAGCCAGTCTCAACGTACTGTGTAGGTATATTCGAGACTGGCTTGAACGTTTAAAGTGAATTTCTTTAGATTTGTTTACTGCCAGTCTTCAAGCATAGTCCACTGACTAATAATAATTTTTTTTTCCTTATTCAGAGGAATCGGGCAAATTACGGATGTGCAGTTGAAACTGTATATAATATCAGAAAGTTGAATGTTGTGTGTTTATAATATAATCCCGTCTCAATCAAGAAAAGAAAATTTTACTTATCAGATAATTATTTATCTGTTCCATCTGTTCAGAAAGTTTCAGAAAGGCTAGTTTTTCTATCAAGAAATATTGAGCAAATTGGAGTACCTTACTTAAATGAATATGCCTATCGATGGAATTCACGACTAACAAAGTTGAATAAAAGTTAGTCGACATCGATAGGGAAATGAGCGTATGAGTTCACTTTCCTTACCCTCACAACTGGAGTTTGTCAGAAGAGGCAAACGGGTCAAAACTGATCATGGGATGGTGACATGAATTTCCTCAGACATCAGTACCTCCCTTCACGGTGAACCCCTGCCTGGCGGGGGTAAGTGGATGAAGGATTTTGTTCACCCGCCGATTCCTTCACTGACTGGACTGCTGAATGGAAGGCAGCTGCAAATCTCTGCGGATGGTTTCGTTCCGTATGAACCACGAAGCATTCACAATCATCTGTATCAAGTTATTTTGCAATCTCTCCAGAAAGTAGATATTAGACGGAGCCGATTTTCTCCAGACGCCTGAGGCGTACATGATAACAGGCTTGAACAACGTTTTGTAGATAGTCAGTTTGTTTTTTAGGCTCAGTTTGGATCGTCTATTGATCAGAGGGTACAGACTTTCGATCCGACCCTCGATCTTTGCCTTCACGGTTATGATGTGCAGGTTCCAGAAGAGCCTACGGTCTATTTAAAAACCGAGGTACTTTACCAGCGCCTGCCAGTCGATCTTCCTTCCAGAGATCCTCACTTTTTTGTCCGGAGAAGATTTTCTAGAAAATGGTTAAAGATGATTTCCCAAAGCGACTTGTTTTAATACTTAAGCTACTCTGATCTTCACGAAATTTTCTTTCATTCTCTAATGATTCCATACCTTATTGAAGTATACATTCATACCCTCAGGTTTGGATTCAAAACGAAGAAAAAGAGATAAAACTGCGAAAGAACTTTTGGAACAAATCGCCAATCAGGAACAGCTACTAGCCAAAAGAAAACAGGAAGAGGACTCGGTGGATCAAGCTTTTACCAAGTTAGCTGAGATAGAGATAGAACGAGAGAAACAAGCCGTTCAGGATTTCACAATTCAATACAGAAGGGAAGCTGCCCTCTACAGAAAACATCTACAGGAACTCGAAGAGGAACGGAAGAAAGAGGAAAAGGAGTTGAATGAACTCTTGAACATACATCGCAAAGAAATTGAGAGAAAGCAGGATGAGGCGAAATGTAAACTGGCAGAAGCAAAAATGAAGTTGCAAAAAGTGAGTTCCCAATAATTCTTATGAACTATGAATCTATGAATCTATAAACTATGAACTATGAATCTTACCATATTTGGAATGAATAGATGTAATTTTAATGGCCATTATCTCATAAAAATTTGAAGATTGTAGTTGTAATATTTTGAGAACTATTATTTTTTTTTCGTAAACATCAAGCGAAAATCCTTGTCAGCAGTTACTGATTCGAAGTGACAAAAATTCAATTATGACTAAGAAAAACAACCTAAATTAAATCGAAAACTTCTGTGGAGATTGAAAAACTGAACATGTGAATCATACAAATATGCCTGCTGGAGACTATAAAAATGATCATATTAATGGTATTCATTGATGATAAAATACAAGAAGGTGAAATTTAGCTCTTCTTCTTCTAGCTCCCAACCTAGAAACTACATATAAAGCAAACTCTATTTATATTGGATCTAAAAAATCAACAACGATATACAGGGTGAGTCAACAAGATTTCCTCGGTTCATTGCTATCAGAGAAAACAATTTTTTGAACTGATCAATTTTTTTGCAGTCCTATCGATAAATACTATCTTTCAAAATTATTTTATCGCATACTGGGAGATTCAAAAGAGCGTGGCCAACCAAAGTTATGTTTTTTAAATAGAACACTCAGTATATGAGTTCGTCATTCTATGATATTTTCTGGAATATCAACTTTTGGAAACGATATATAGGGTGCTTGGTAAAACCAGTCACGTTCCATTCATTTTCAAACAGACATAATTCAACTTTTTCAAACGGAACACCCTGTATTTTATCTTGTATACTATACAAAAAAACTGATATTTTACAAATTATACAAAGTTTTAGTAATTGTTGTAACCACAAAAAATATATATTCTTATCTTCACTTACTCAAATTTGTTTTTCGAATAGTCAAACCAATCACTAGTACGTTAGCATTTTTCATACCATCTACTACTGATAGTTATCAGCGGTTGCAACGGTAAGAAATGCGTAAAAAACTAAAGAATATGTATACTGCTTTTTTCTCCAAAAACCCAGTTATCCATGACGGAATCAAACAATGAATCTCGGAATTTGCCAATAACGCTATGTGTTGAAGTTTTTTTCGCATGTAAAGTGAATCGTTTTCATTATGAATTATGTATTTGAAGATAAGGTAGGGGAGACCGGGGCTGGTTGGTACGCTTTTCAAATTGAAGCGCCTCTAATTTTTTTATTGATAGACATCCAGAAAATACATTTGATTTCCAGATTAGTGTTGGTTTGTTCATATGAATTTCAAATTACATAATGTTTGGACCTATCTTAAATCCATAATTTAATTTTTTCCTCAAGGATGCAAGTGTACCAAGCAACTCCGTATTTGGGGATGGTTGGTACATACCTTGGGGTTGGCTGGTCGAAGCAAAAACTTAGAAAATGATTATTGTTTTTATTTTTTTATATAAGAATCAGCCTGCAAAAAAAATTATAAAACAAAAAAAAACGGTACCTATCCGTTAAAAAAGTGAATAATCTAGTCAGAACCATCCGAATCACAATTATGATATACGTAGAACAGGCCCGCATCTGCGCATTTTTCATGTGCCCACAATTTTCATTGGGTGCACTGAATCCATTTCTCG